TATTTTATTTATTTTATTTATTTTATTTATTTTATTTATTTTATTTATTTTATTTATTTTATTTATTTTATTTATTTTATTTTTTATTTTATTTTATTTATTTATTTATATATGTATTTATAAAAATAATTATTCTTAATTATTTTTATTTATTTATACTTATTTATTTATACTTATTTATATTTATTTATTTATATTTATTTATTTATTTATTTCATCAAGCATGTATTAGACAACATGTATATGTAGAAACATGATTTTGGAAACATGAAATGGATACAAATAAAAAGAAATATTAGGATAGGGAGGGTAGGCGTGCTAGTGCACTTATGCACCAACATAACTTAATGTATAACTTATAATTATAATTATATAATTAATTATACCTTATGGACCTTGTAGGTCATCTAGTCCAACCCCCACCCCACCCAAGAGAGAGCCTGCCTACACCATTTCTGACAGAGGCAGTCCAGTCTCTTCTTGAAAGCTTTCAGGGATGAGGCTCCCACAACTTCTGAAGCAGGAGTGGGTTCCTGCCGGCATTACTACTGGTTCGGTGCCCGAAAAACCCCTGCATAAATGCAGTGTTATGTGGACATGCCAAGTTCCACCACTAATAAGAATTCTCTGGAATTCAGAAAAATTTCTCCTGTTTGGCTAACTTCCAGACTGTCACTCAGCTGAAGTACCAGCCCTCTCACAGAAGTCTATTTAAAAGATGAGTTTGAATTCATTACTGTTCAGAAGGCAACAAAGAGGGATGCCCAGAGCAGGGAGTTCAGGATGTTTGACAACTCCGGAGCAATCATTCTTACCATCTTTTTATTGGCCCGTGTTCCTGGATGGGTACGTACTGTATATTTCTATGAAGATATAGCAGTGGAAATGGGAGAGTGTAGACTTCTCAAAAGTTTTTTTTATATATATAATGCAGGTGTTGTGGCCCGCCAGCAGCCAGCAGAGCTGGAAGCAAATTCAGACAGTGAGGAGTCTGGGGAGGAGCATGGGCCAGTCCTGGAGTCTGGGGAAGGCTCGGATGAGGGCTCTGTGTAGGAGGCAGAGAGGGGGGCGAGAGCTGTATGCCAGTTATCAGCTGCCTTCAGAGTCAGTTTTTTTTTTTGCTTTCAACC